CCTTCCCCCCGGCCCGCGCCGGGGCCACTCGGGCCTCGGGCCTCGGCGGCCGCTCCCCGCCCTCCTCTGCCCCCTTCCCCTGCCCGCCTCCCCTCCCGGCTGATTCCGGGTCCCGCGGCGGGGACTCCCAAGTCCCCTGCTCGGAGACGCTCCCTCTCCCCAGTCCCCGGTTGCCCACCCAGCTCCCCAGTGCCTGCCGGCTTATCTGTCCCTGGTTCCTCCGGTGGACGCCGGCCTTAGCGTCATCCAGACCACGCCGCAGGCCCAGCAGTCATCACAGACTGCTAATATTTAACCGGTAGCTGCCCCCCCTTGAATGTCCTAAATATCTTCTCATCTTTAGCTTCCCTTGCATTGCCTTAATCCAACGCAAGAAGCTGCCCCTGGATACCACTAGCATGTCCTCACTGGCCTTGCCTCCAGTCTTACAGCCTCTAATCCCCGCTGGCGCCCACAGCAGCTCTCTGCTTGCACACTCCCTCCCACAGCATGGAGCCCTCCACAGCCTGGCCCCGACCTGGGCTGCGGCCGCTTCTCTCGCCTGTGACTCATGGGCAGGGAGAGCTGCTGCCTGCCGGCCCTTGCACCACCACCCCTCCACCCGTGTGGGAGCTGCCTCCCCGGAAGTCTTCTGCACCTGCCGTTTACCTGTCTCTGCGCTCATCTCTGGCGTCCTACAGAGGAGGCCAGGTTGCTGGGATTGACTCAGGTTCTTCCTGCACTCTGAGAGCCGGGCCCTGCCCTGTGTGTCTTTAGTCCCGTTCTCACCTTCTTACCATAACTGTTGTTATTATTTATTACATCTGTATTTTTAAGTCTACTGTGCATCAGACACATATTAAGAACTTTAATACAGAGTTTCTTATTCAATCTGATGTTCATAACTATCCTAAGAGTAGGCATTATTACCCACATCCACTTACTGGAAAAAAGGTTTTCATGCATCAGTTTTTGGGCCCAGAAGCGTCTGATCTACACAGTCAAAGAGTGTTTCCTGCACAGCAATCACTAGATAAGTATTTGTTCAATGGACGCCAAAGTAATTAAATCACTTAATGGGCTATAGTTGAGCAGATAAAAACATGTAAGTTACTATGTGTATTATTAAATATTTGTATTATTAAAACATTTGTATTATTAAATTTGTATCAAGATATATTATGCTAAGCATTTTACATGTAGCATCTCATTTAATTCTCACAATTCTGAGGTAAGTATTATCATAATTCCCACATTACAAATGAAACATAGGTGAAGTAACTTACTCAAGATCTCACAACTAACAAAAAGCTAAACCAAGCCTAAAACACAAATCCTTGATTCCAAAGGCAGTGTTTTGAACAGCTGTTCTGTCCTGCCTCCCTTAATTCATGAGGGCTTCTGAGGTTTGAGGCTAATTGCATGACAGGCACTCAGTAATCATTGTGCCTGTCATAGCACTGCAAATTTTAACCAGGCTGAAACAGGAAAAATAAACCACTGAACATGAATGTCCCAATTTTTAAAATTTTTTCCAGTTTATTCAGCATATCACTACTTATGCAATAATGTGAAGAGCCAAAATAGAATGTGAGAACACAAAATTAATATTCAGAATGTAAATGGAAGAAATAATGAACTTGTTCCACGCATATCCTCCAAGCCAAAAAGTAAAAACTAGTTCAAACCAATCCCTTCTACGACTTGTTAATGGCGTGCTGAAGACATTAACAATGGTACTAATGAATCCCATAGCTGAAGAGCTATGTGTTAATTGGAATAATAAAGTACACTGGTGGTTCATTTGTGAACTCCTCTGGGGTAGAAGCTGGTGGAAACCATACAAACATCTCAAAGTTGCAAAAACACTGCCACCATTTGCCATAGTCACCATTAAAGGTAGCAAAGTAAATCAACAAAAGAAGTAATAAACAATAATTAACAGCTTTCTATGATCAACTTTAAACAAGGCCCAAGGTGTCTCTAGCTCACATAGAAGGAAGTAGAAGAGGAAAGACAAAATGGGGGTGAGGGTGGAAAAATGGGTCAAATGTTGAAAGCGAGCAGAAGACATCACAAGAGAGGGGAGCCAAGGTGAGCAGGGAGTGCATGTGGCTTAAGGTAGGGTCAGCCACAGAAGACACTGCAGGCCAGAGGGCGCAGAGTCAGAGGAACAAGCAAAGGAAGAAAGAGTGTGAACGGGAGCAGGGGTAACAGAGAAGTGCGCGTTGCCTCGAGGAGCAAAGGTGACTAGGAAAAGACGCCAAGAGAGAAGACCCGAGAATATCACAGCACCAGGGTACGGAAAACGTTCTAATTCTCTATGTCATAACTACCTCTGAAAAGAATCGGAAGCAATTAATACGAGGAAGAAAGGAGAGAGAAAAACCTACAGAAGACTATTGAAATTGAGAAAAATACTGATTCTGAGTTCCCTGGCAGCCAAGGCAAAGAGGGAAGCCTAGCAGTACACTGAAAGGAAGTAAATCAAAGCACACTTCTGAACGGAGGGAAGGAGTGATGACACGATGGGAAAGGACAGGAACAGGCCGTGGGCAAGAAAGGAAAGAAGGGGTGGTGGGAGCGAAGTGGCACTGGGTGGGAGGAAAGGAATGGTTGACAAGAGGGAAGCCCAACTGTGTCAGGGCGTAGCCGCCACCCCAGGCCACACCGCGGGAATGCGGAAGCACCCCCCTGCCCCCCACAGCTGAACATTGTGCGTGGCACTGAATCTGAAAGCCTCCTGTCTGGTGTGGACGCATGCTGCTCGTGTGTGCAGACGTCGTGCATGGCACTTGTAAGCCACGTGGTCTTCGAGGAAGCGCTGATGATTTCAAAAGGGCGCCCTCCCCGCTGGAGGAAGGGGCTGGAGGCACAGGGCTGGGAGAGGCTGGCGCAGTTCACAGACCTGGGAAACAGGTGGTGGGGATGCCGAAGGCAAACTGGCACCACAACCGGTCGAGGCGTGATTTTGAAAACCTCCCATTACAAATATATACTTTTCAAGATGATGCTGGGTAACGTGACTCGTGAAAAACCAAGCGTGTTGATATCTGGAGACATTCCAGATATCTGGAGACATTTCAGGCAGGAAGCGAGAGAACGGGGGTGACAGAAATGGGGGGAAAGAGGAGGAGGAGGAGGAGGCAAGAGCCTGGGAAGGCGCGGGCTAGCCTGGGCTGGCGGGCTAGCCTCGGCTCCGAGGGTGAAGCAGCAGGGCCTGGGGCTGGAAGAGGAACGGCGGGGGGGGGAGGCGGGGACGGGCACACCTCCAAGTTCAGCATTTCGGACTCCTCGGACTCCGCCTCGACCTCGCCCGGGTTCTCGTCTCCGTCGGCGTCCAACTCCTGGTAGCGGTGGATGAGCTGCTGGAGCAGGCGCGAGGAGACTCTCTGGGCAGGGCCTTTCGTCCTCTGCCCCATGGGAAAAGGGGACCAGCAGGGCTGACGCCCTTTTTCGGAGCGCGGCGAGAGCGACTGGGCGCCCGGCCGTGCGCCGCCCGAGCCTCTCAAGAGAAAGGACGCTCTGGACTCCTGGGGAGCGCTCCTGGAGGCCGCCATCTTGTTTGGCGAGGTTGCTAGGAGACCGCAGGCGGCGCCGCGGGGGATTCTGGGGGCTGCAGTCTCCGCGCGTGCGCGCCGTCGACACGTGCTGCGCGGCGCCTGTGACTGTCCTCCCCGGCGGTTCCCGCCAGTCCTTCCCGCCTCGCCTTTCCTGCTCCCGTCCGTCTCGTCTCCAGCTGTGTCTCTCCCCACCTCGAGCCCCCCAGAGCGTGTCCCCCGTCCCGGGCTCTGCAGGGCGCGGGGCGAAAGGCAGGGCTCCTGTCCTCACGGTCAACCGCCGACGGTCGAGAGGGACCGGGCAGGTAATCGACGTCCCCCGGCCCCAATGATTAGCCAGGTCCTGGGGGAGAGAAACTGGCAGGGGTCTAACTACCCGGAGAGAGAAAGCCGCTGTCAGGTCGGCTGTATGCGGAAACCTCTGAACATCCATTAGCTGGCCGGCAGTCGTCAAGTGGCCTGCCGCGGTCATTGTTCTCGTCTTGTTGCCCGGGTTCCCTCCGCGGTATTATAAGATACTCTTGCGAGATTACAGCACGTTATGTGATGCTGATGTGGTTTTATGAGGCCCAGCTCCCATAGCCTTAAGCTCCGCAGAGGAGGCAGTCTGTAGAAAAGCAGAATGGAAACTGTAGTAGCTATTATTGCCATAGTGATGGCAATAGAGATCCTGGCAGGGACGTCGCCCTCCTGCTTCTGGCCCTACAGGCCTTTTCTACACGCTTCGATGACAGCAGTTTCAAATACAAAATGATCCTGTCAATGGCTGTCAGGGGAGAAGGAGAAAAAATCCTTATGGACACCATCCGCTGACTATTATTTTTCTCAGTGCTTGAGGGACCCTTAAAACAGACATAAAGCTTTCAGAATTACCTTTCTTCATTATCTTGCCAGTCATAAATGTAAAGGCCACAGTGAAATTCTCTCTCTCAGGCTCATCTTGCTTATTTCTTTTTCCAGTAGGAAGTGACTCCTCCAAGGCGTTTTTCCCCCACCCTTATGTCCACAGGGCAGGCCTTCAGCTAACTGACACAAGAAACACGGGGCAGAAAGTATAAGAATGCAAACCCAGTATGTTAATTTTTTCAATAACCTAGCATTTCTAGCAAAGCAAGAAATCTATTGAGGAAAGTATCTTAAGGCAGACTTAGGACCTGTCAAAGAATAATTTTCAAAAAGTTCAAAATAGGATTTTCATTTAAAAAAAGAATACATGTGAAAGATTCTATTTAAGAAGATACAACTATATAGCCTCTGGGGTTATATAGTCTAAGTGTTTTATTTCATTTCAGCTTCACATCTACCCTCTATCCCCATTTGACAGATAAAGTCACTGAGGCTCAGGAAAGTTAAATAATTGGCCAAAATCAAGTGGCGGTGCTGAAATCCAAACCAAGAACAGTCAAGTCTTCAGTCCACTTTCAAGTATGGCTTTTGCATGTGAAAAGTTGTGAAGCAGGATAAAGGTACATCATAGAGATCTCAGTAGAAAAAACATAGCAAGACTCAAGTATAAATAAAAGAATTCACTCAGAGAATAACCTTTTAATATAGAATCACAGCATCTAAAAATCAGAAGTAACCTACAAGCCATCTTATCCCAACTTTTCTTTATTTTTTTTAGATGGAGTCTCACTCTGTCATCCAGCCTGGAGTGCAGTGGCACACTCTCGGCCACTGTAGCATCGACCCGCTGGGCTCCGGTGATCCTTCCACCTCAGCCTTCCAAGTAGCCAGAACTATAGGCACACGCTACCACGCCCAGCTGATTTTTTATTTATTGTAGAGAAGAGGTCTCACCAAGTAGCCTGGGCTGGTCTTGAACCCTCAGGCTCAGGCAATCCACTCGCCTCGGCCTCCCAAAGTGCTGGGATTACAGGCTGAGCCACTGAGCCAGGCCCCAACTTTTCTTTTTAACAGAAGGAATTGATGGTCCTTGAAGAGCAATGGCTTGCCTCAAACAGCCTACTGTCTTAGCAGCAGAACAGGAGTTAGAGTCTAGAACTCTTTTCTTTTGTTGTTTAAAAAATTTTTATTTTAAAGATGTGGGGTACAATCCAGGGCTAGGTATACAAATGGTAATTGTACAGGTAAAGTTTGGGCCTCCTTTGATTCCCATTTCACCTGGTTTGAGATCAGGTACACTTATTGATGAAGTGTGCCCCCGCCACCGGCTGTTTCCCACTATTGCCAGTCCCTTTCTTATAGCTCAATCTTTGTCCTTGCTAGTTCACCAAAATACACACAAGGCTGGACTTTTACTAATAGAATCCCTACTTTGGGATTTGGGGCATCAAAATGGAAGACATTGTCTCTATAAAACAAGTTATTTTACAAGGTAGAGAAGGCAGAATTAGGCAGAATGAGAGGAGGGGAGGGGAGGCAATATTTTGTCTAAACTCTTCTCCGTACAAAAATATCAATAATTGCTTCCATTATTCATAGCTTACTGTAAACCAGGCCTGTGCCGAGTGCTGTACACATATCTCACTTAACTATTCCAACTGCTCTCTGAGATAGGATTGATATATACCCTCTTTTCGAAGGAAAAGAATGAGGCTCAAGAATGTTAAATAATTTGCACAGTCACACAATTTGTGACTAAACTGACTTTGCAGCTCAGGTCTTCCTGATTTCTGATCCTGCTCTTCCCAGACCCAAAGCCTCTGAACTTAACCACTCATATTCCACTTTCTCCAAAAGCATAAAGTAGCTTCTCAGGAACTTATTGTGAGGCCTGCCCCAATGAGATACTGAGATGGTAGTATGATGGTAGTGTGTGTGTGTGTGTGTGTGTGTGTGTGTGTGTGTGTGTGTGTGTGCACAGGTGGGAAGACTCCAAGTTTCTAGGGCCATGGAGGTGAAGAGGGTGGGCAAAGGCAGTGGGACCTGATCACCTAGGAGAGCAGGGTCTTGAAGACCTGGGTCCTTACTCAGGGGACGAAGAAGGCAGAGGAGTCACACTACCACACTTGCGTGCCTCTTTGGAGAGGGCGTCCAGGATGGGCAGTCATGAGTCACGAGGGGAGGGCCAGAGGGGCACAGAACTTGAGTTGAAAGCAGCGTTCGTACCACTGTGCACTCCAGCCTGGGTGACAGAGTGAGACTCCAACTCAAAAAAAAAAAGAAAGAGGCGTTAACCCTCAGCATCACCTTGGTGGCAACTTCACCTCAGAGCCGCCCTTGATTCTCATGTGCCCTAACTTTTCCATGTGCGGCCAGAATGTCCCCAGTCTGGAACTGGCACCTTCTCATTGAAAACAGAAGGAACAGACAGGTGATTCCCCCCGCCATTGTCTGTATTGGGCAAGAATCCCTTGCTCGCCCCCTTTATGCACCTGTGCCCCTCCCCAACTTGGTGCAAATAAAAACAGTGCTTCTCAGTCTAGTTGAAAGGGCAGCACTTTGACCTCATGTGATTTTTTAAATGAAATTTCTCCCTGTGAAATGGGGAGAGAAGACAGACAGCAGAAGGTACCATCGATATAATAGTAATGACGAAAGCACAGCCACAGTCATGTTTATGAATAATCACTCTGGGCCAGGCTACTCTTGAGTGCTTTACACATATTCACTCATTTCAACCCTACAGGTAGCAATTAATATTATGATCCCCATGTTATAAATGAGGAAAGAGGAATAGAAAGGTCATGTAACCCCTCTACCCACTTTGTGAAACAGTGACAGAGCCAGGATTCAATGGAGAGACCCTGGCTTCCCAGTCTACATCCTTTATCAAAACACAGCTCTACTCATCAGAAGGGGACCTTAAGTCTGAGATAATCTTGTGAATTAACATTTTACCCTTTTATGCTTTTTTAAATTTGAGTCTGAGTCTCACTCTGTCACTCAGGCTAAAGTGGCACAATCATGGCCACCACAGTCTTGACATGCTGGGCTCGGGCAATCCTTCCGCCTCAGCCTTCTAAGTAGCTGGAACCACAGGCATGCACCACCATGCCTGGCTAATATTTTGCTTTATTGTAGAGATGAGGTCTCGCCAAGTTGCCCAGGCTGGTCTCGAACCCCTGGGTTCAGGCGAGAGAATCCCAAAGTGCTGGGATTACAGTGGGAGCCACCACAGCCGGCCCACCTTTTATGCTTTCTTTTTTCTTTCTATGAACAAGGAATGATTCTTCACAGGGAAGGAAGTTTATTATCTAACAAAAGCTCAGTGGAGTGTATAGACACTAAGCAAATAATTTGCACAATTACACAAATAATCACTTAGTTTCAATTGTCACAAGCCATGGAGGGAATATGTAGGAGCCACGAGAACGTCACCTGGGGTCTTGACCCAATGTGGCAGGGAGTGATCCTTTAAAACGTTAGACCAACCCTTTGAGCCTCGTGATTATGAAGAAAGCTGGGCCAAGACAGAACAACACATGAGGAATTCATTGGTCACCTTTGCAGAAGTCAGCAGCATTCAAATCATGATTGTCATAATTAATTGTGCTAATAGGCCCCAATAAAGTCCAGGTAGGACTTGACTGAGCCAAAGACTATCTGTTGTAGCAGAAATCAAAGGCATTTTGGAGGGTGCCCCACTAATAGATAACCCAGATCAGATACCAGTGTGGAGATCAAAGATAAAAACTGCAGTCTAGGAAACGTCAATCTTAAAAGCCTAAGAGACTAAAGCAGAAAAGTCAAGGCAATGAAGAATTGTTGCAAAGAAACTGCAGGCATCACGCTGTGAATAAAACCGGAACAGAGGGTAGATAAGGATTACTGAGAATTTCTGGCTCAGATTATTTTAGCAGTCAGAAGACTGGATTTCATCAGGGAAGTCACAAAGACTTAAGATCAAAATGATTAAAACAAAATCTTGTGGATGGAGATATGAGGACCAGAGGACATTATGCTAGGACGTTCAGAAGATCAAAGGTGACTCAGAGGAATTCAGGAAGAAATCACCACAGGAGCCGGTGGAAAGGCAGGTGCGTCTGCGAGACTCACGTTTTAATACCCAAAGCTTCCCAATGGCCCCGGATAATAGGGACAGAAGGAAGAGCAAACAGGTGAGAGAAACATGCCTGAAATCCGGCCATAGCCCACACCCGAGAGCATGTCCCTCATTAGAGCAAGTGTGGCCAGTGCCGCTCTGTGGAAAGGCAAGTCCTGCGGGCTCTGATGTAGGCACAGGTGGCAGTCCCCATTGTTGCCAACTGGTGACACAGCCTGGAAGGCCCGCTCCAGAGGGGTCTGTCTTGGGGCTGGGGGATACAGGGGAATTCTGGTCTTGGCCTCGTTATTCAAGGGCCCTGCATCAACAACATAAATCAGACGTCCACAGGAGACAAGTGCCACCTGACTGGTCTGGAGTTGGGTCACAGGTACTCAGGAAGGGACCCAGTTGGAGGCAGCAGCAGCCTCCACTTCCCCTTCATCTCTCTTGGCTGAGACCGCTCCCTCCTGCACCCAGATGAAGCAAAGCCCCGGGCCAGGCCAAGGGGGTTCAGAGAAAAT